AGAAGTCTGCCGTGCCATGTGGGTCACCTTCCCCTGGCCAGGGATCCAACTTGTGCTGAAGTGACTGTGGCTCGCTTTGTACTGCTGCATCTTACCCTGTTGTGCCACCAGGCGGGCCCAATATTTTACAACTTTCTCTTTGCCTAGTGTGCAACCCCTGTAAATTAAACTTTCATAGGATTGAAGGTGACCTATACCTTAGACCAAAGGGTCATGAAGGAACCTGTGGAGGAATAGACATGCTCTAGATCATGATTGTGATGGCTATGTGACTTTATATGCTTGTCAGTATATGTTTGGCATATACTGGTAGAACTGAAAAGGGTGATTTAACTACGTGTAAATTAATGTATATGTAAGTAAATTATACCTCAAATCTGCCCTTAAAAAGAAAGAAAAGAAAGGGGGAAACCCTTTGGCAGTATAGAGGGGATTTAAAAGCATTTGGATTTTTACAGTTTACCCCATACACCAGGTTAATTCTGGAAGATAGGAGAGAGAAGCTGTTCTTCAGAATACTTTCTAGAGAAGCAAGCTTCCTAGGACCCAGCAGACTCCTTCTACTTAAAATCCCCTTCTCATTTCTAACTATCCAGTCCTTCCAGGCTCTTTTGGTTATGACCAAGTTGTGGCCTGAATTTTCAGACTTTTGTCAGGCTATTACTTTTCTTTCCTCATTAAAAAATGAGTATAATTTATTACTGTGTCCTCTCACAAATGTCTGATCTTTAAAAGGATGACATTGGGCCTAAAACTTGTGCAGAATTTATAGCCTGTTGCCAACAATCTTAACAACAAGCTTTCAATACTCTAGCCGCCCCAGCTGAGTGTTGTAGACATGATTTTAGTTCAAGAGATGAATAAAGTTTGTATGGTTTTCTTCCAGGCCAATACAGAAAAGCCTACCTTAAATAAGTCAGAACAGGCTGGGAGAAATGCTCTTCTTTCTGACATCAGCAAAGGGAAGAAACTTAAGAAGACGGTCACCAATGACAGAAGTGCACCCATTTTGGACAGTAAGTCAAAATTGGATTGGTCTATGACCTAACAACCAACCCTACCCTTCCAACAAAAAAAGAAAAAAAGGATTTTTTTTTTTTGGTTAACAACAGCTGCAAGGCTAGCAGAATAAGGGACTGTATTACTCATTGTAGGTCACAGCTCTGGCTTGGGCTCCCTCTAATACTGCAGGAAGCCAGTATAATAATTCTTTGTCCCAGACACACACAGCATTGATTCTCTGAATGATCCACAACACTTTCTGGAAATTAACCCCTTGCTGCTCAAGATCAAGGAGGTACACAGAGTATGGGAGGAGCCCTCAGCCTTGGAGTGAGAGGCTGTGGGTTCGAGTCCTGTCACATCCATCACTTTATATCTCCAAGTCTCTTTGTCTTCACTTGTCAGATGGCAATGATTATACCTCTTCTACTGCCCTCACAAATTTTCTGTGAACATCAAATGAGATACTGCTTATAAAACTATTTTGTTCTCTGGAATCTCTAACTCAAGCGTACATTATGATTATTAGGAGCTGGAGAGAGAGGAAATGAGCTCACAAGTTTGCTTATTTATCCATTGGAAGTCTGAGATACTTTCTGCAGCAAGGCAGGAGATATATAAACAACCAAGGACCCATAATTCAGGACTGTTTATATTTATACCAGAATGAAAATTATCTATGACTAGAATCTACTGGTAGATAATAAGCAGGTCTTGAGACTGTCTTCCCTAGACACTTCCACAGCTGGCAAATGTCCCCAGAATTCATCCTAGACCACAGATTCCATTGGACTTAATGGGCAATATAATGACCTTCCAGCATCACCAGAGGGAGCTTTATGGATAGGTGAATAGACAAGTATATAATGATATAGGATTTTAGCCAAGTTGATTAGACATGCTGAGGAGCTTCTAGGAAAAGTACCTAATGAGTAGAGACGGAAGTAGGATCATAACTCAGCAAAAACACTAATGTGGGAGGGTAATAGAAAAGGGGAAGGCCAATACAAAGGCCTTAAATGTTACTGTTACTGGGCAACCTCTAAAAGGAACTAGGAAGTTGGACTCTTGACTTGACACAGTCTTAACTTCTAGGTCAGAATGTCCACAAAAACTTACCTGGGTAGGGTGTAATCCTTTAGTCCCCTTGATCAGCATCAAAAGGTCCTTATGGGGGCAGCCCAGCAGCCACTTACCTCTGGGGGGGAAGTGTTGGTCCAACTAGTCATCCTAGTCGTGGTGCTTGGGATGCCGCCAGAGGAGCCCTACCAACTGCTGACCTCTAGGACAGAGAGGGAACCGATGCTGAAGGAGACTGGACAGTCTGGGATTTACTCCTGAATCCACTCATGGAAACACATTATATTCAAGGTCCACTTCTCCTCTTGTATAATGTAGAAAAATGTTAGTTCTTCTCCCTCCCAGCTTCCCAGGTATGTTTAAGAATGTATTCTATTCGGTGGACACAGATGCAACCCAGTGCATGTCATTGTCCATGCATTTAATTAAATGTCCTTCCATGGCTTTCGTGTGTTTGCAGTGAAACCTGACTGGGCTTGGTGTCAAAATGCCCACCATGGTTGTGCTTACCTTGAGGCTATGCTCTTGAACTTAGCCTTGTGGTGCAGTTTAATTACTAACAAAGTGATACGGGGCCATTTATGATCTGCAACTGCTTTAGCTGTATCTGAAAGATGCACAGATGTTCCAGCTTAGGAGCACTAATGGATGTTCTCTAACCTTTCTGAATATTCTGTACCATGTAAAGGTGTCTTTTGCACAAACATGGTATATACTAAAATGTATCATTTGTTAGCAAATCATGTTTGAATGACAAAGGCATGATTAATATTGGTAATAATGAAATTAGTAAAAATTTAAATTTGTACAGGAATAATTTTGTATGCACTTGTGGAAATTGTCATTCTAATTTGATTTATCTTGTTATGTGAAGTAATTCTTACCAGTTTGTCAACAGATTATTTCTTCTATCAATAGTTTCAGTAAGTAGCTTAGAAAGTTCCACACCTGGAGAAGGTACAGAGCTAATATAGACTTATAATTAAAAACATACATGAATAGAATTAGAATTCAGAAAGCAAATAAAAGATGTAAAGCAGATTTTATAAAAGTGAGATTCTAAATAGTATGACGAAGTTATATACTAAAACATTTTGAAATCTTACTTTTCCGAAAAAAACATAAATTTACCAGAATAAATTTTAAAAGTCACAAAGCACAAAAAAATTGAGAATTTTATCAAAGTGCTTTCTCTCACTTTAGAATCAAATTACCTTATCTGTAAATTCTGATGTTAGTAAACAGCTAATTAAAATGCTGTATGTCATTCCTGAACATAGGAAGAGGTGGGAAACTACCTGATAGGTTTACTGAGACTGGTGTGATCCTAACTATGTCGGTGTCCCAGGAGTGGTCGTCTGGAGTTATTTTTAGTTTTCACAGCTTAAGGAGGGGGCTACCTGCTGCCATATACTAAATAGAAGCCAGGGTTGCTGTAAACACTCTACAGAGAACACAGACATTATCCGTCCCAAGATGTCAGTCGTGCCACGATGGAGACCCTACTATAGGTCAGTTATGATTGTAGATGAAAGGACACAGAAACAAACAAACAAACAGTGGTATATTAAAAGAATAGCTCAGTGGTATATTAAAAGAATAATTCACCAAGATCAGGGTTTATCTTATTTCTTTTTTTTTTCAAAGATTTATTTATTTATTCATACATAACTGGGGTACAGGCGGAGGGTGAGAGGATTCACCAGGAACAGAGTGGGGAGCAGAACAGGCAGATCGACAAAGTACACTGCTGAAGGGAGCAGCGGGCGGGTCAGGAGAGGTCTGCCACGCCATGTGGTCACCTCCGGGGCAGGCGGGAATCGAACTCATGCAAAAGTGGCTCAAGCTTCTTAGTGCTGTGCTTTAACCTGCTGCGCCACCAGGGAGGGCCAAGGTTTATCTTATTTCTTAAGATGAGAAAAGCTATTAAACCATTGTAACAAATAAGGAAAACCACACCATCATCTTAGTGGATCCTGACTAATATTTTATAAAATTTCATGGCATAAGAAAGACTTAAAAATCTAAAATAGAGGCTGACGAGGCATATTTAGATAGAACATTAAAAACACAATTTCAAACCTCTAGTGAGTATGTAACTTTGAACCACTAGAGGCATTCTAATTAAAATTAAAATATAATAGCCTGTAAATTTATTAATAATTTACATTGTTATGAAAATTAAGTCATCAGAGTAATTAACTTATGTAAATTAGAAATAAGACACAGAACTATTAGAAAAGAGAAGGCAACCCCTTTTTTATTTACATTACATATATCTACCAGAAAAACAAAGATAATACCATTTTTCTAAATTTTAATTTAAAAAATATAATGAATAACCATTTACAAACTATAGTAGCAACAACATCTTGTTCACAATTTCAACAAATAAAAAAGTGTATTCGAGTGACCCTAATAAATAGCTTGTGTGACCAGTACAAAATTATAAAACTACTGACATGGTAAAATACACCATGTTTCACTGAGGTCTAATATCATAAAAGTGTCAGTCCTCCTAGGTTAATTTGTAGAACACATGTAATGCTTATCAAAGATTCAACGGGCTTCTAGGGGAGGAACTTTAAACAATGTTTAATCTTGTAAATACCAACATACGTCCATACATAAATTGTAGAGACAGTTTTTTAAAGAAAGGACAAGTGGAAAGTGAATGTAAGTCAAAGATTTTATTTAACTCATTAATTAATGAGACAACTAGTAATATGTGTCTGTCAAAGAATTCAAATTGTCTCCCTTATTTAGGGAGAAACAGACTAAGCTGAATTTATAAATGAGTGCAAAACAAGTCAATAATCTAGAGCATTTCACTGCACACAACTAATTTACAGGCCTATGGACAAAAATCATCTGCAGTATCATCAGTTTGCTGCAGTGTACAGAGTTGTACGGCCTAGCATGGGCCAGGCTGCTCAGCGTGCAATTTTAGGACTTTATGAACTCTGGCAAACTGGGTATTCTCACTCCAGTACTACATGTCTACACTGAGATACAACAAACACTCCTTCACAGTTTCTGCACTTTCCCTGAGCTTGTGGTTAAGGTGACAAAGTCCTGGTGCGGGAGAGTTTCCTGAAACTCAGGAGGCTCCACAGCTGGTTCCTGCTTCTTCCTTTAATTTTATTGATGGGAATAATTGTGATTCTGAGAATACGATGTAGATTTCATAAAAGCAATAAATTTAATGCTGATGTCACCAATGATATGAAAGAAATCATTGTTAATTTGCAATTTATTCCTGTCATGGTAGTTTGAAATTTTTTGATGTATGTGCTAGTGAGTTGTAGCTAATGTTGCTCAACATTCTCTGATCTATAATTCAGTTAACATACCTGCCCTTAGCAATGAGGGAAGTTCCTGAGAAAATTTCTGGAACCAAGCCCAGTGCGGACTCTTGCTCAAAAAAGTCTCACTAGGCACCTCGGAAGCACTAGGCCCTTTAAAAGGGAACACACCTCCCTGTTTCCCACAGCCCTTGATTAACAACACAATAATTTTGGCATCAGTTTCCCCACAGGAAAAATTCAGCAATCAGGCCTCTGGTGTTTAATCAAAGCACAAAATGTTAATACATCACACAAAGACAATTGCTGACCACACAAAAAGTCCTTAAGTAAAAATAGAACTAAGTTTCACATATGAACAAGAAATGTGTTATGTTCAGATGATCAAGGCTGGGTGACATCAACCCATCAAAAAACAAGATGTTCCAAAAATCCTCACTCTGGAAAGGAAAATGCATAAATAATGAGCCTGTATGAATAAACTTCAGAAGATGCTCTCACCCTGATCCAATGTGTGCGGCTTCTGCACCACTGGCCCTGGACAGCCCTGGAGTAGTAGGAAATGCCCCCATTGCCACAGGCGAGCAGGGTAGAGGGTCAAGACTAACAATTCTGCATTTGCACACCCTAATTCCAGAGTCAGCCAGCAGCCTGTTTTGTCATCCCTGTTTAGTTGGACGGGTTAAGTACTCTGTTTTCTTCCTTCTGTAGAACCTAAAGGAGCCGGTGGTGGTGGTGGTGGATTTGGTGGAGGAGGTGGCGGCGGCGGCAGTGGCGGTGGTGGAAGTTTTGGCGGCGGTGGGCCCCCCGGTTTGGGAGGCCTGTTCCAGGCCGGGATGCCAAAGCTGAGATCCACGGCCAACAGGGATAATGGTAAGTCAGACGGTTCTTGCACTTAGTAACGGAAGACAGTGGTCTGGAGCTTGGGACCCCCTCTAAGGTTCTCTGCCCTTGAAAACATTTTAGATTGTTTAAAAGATTAATACTGTTTTATACAAGAGCCTCTACTCAGCTTTTTATTTTTTTTAAATCAGTATCAGACAATTCTATTGAGCTGCTAAGTATTTGCTCACTGTCCTTGGGATAACTTGTACTTTTTTGTACTTTTCTAAAGTGGGAGCTAGAGTGGGAAGGAAAGGAAGGAGCAAATGGAACTTGCCACCCCTGGAAACTGCCTGGTGACCTGGCAAAGTCAGCTTCGTTTGTGAGGGAGCCTGAGTCAGCTGTCCAGTCCAGTAAATGCTTGTGAGCAACTTTTCAAACACACACTGTGGAGCACAACACATGGGATAGAATCACAAACCTCACTGATTCTACAAAGGATGTTTTTGCATGACAGACATTTGGCACTTCAGGGCCAATGATTCTAAGTATTCGTGCAAAAGCCGTAGAAGTGAGTCCTGTCATCTAGAAATCTGATGGTAGAGGAGAAACTTGTACCTGACCACGGCCAAGGGAAAAACCTGAGAGTGTTACAGGGTAGCCCAGAGTGGCCTGGGCCACCTGTCTGTGGGGTCTCACCTGCGCACTCACAATTCAGTTACACTGCAGGGACACACAAAAGGTCCATAAAGGGTTTATTTACAAAAAGGGGAAGAAATAGGAAACAACCCAGGGAAAGAGAGCAGAATACAAAGTAACTGGAATACCTTACCAGTTGGCTGACTGGAAACGCCAAGTCACGCAGTCAGGAGAGCTGCTTCCCGAGCGAGAGAGCGAGAGAGCGAGAGATGCAATCACGCTCTATTTATCCCCCAAATGTCCCAGAATTCCTGCTAGCTCCACCCTTGGGTCCTCGCAGTTCTCTCCCTGGTACTGCTGGGAGTTGTAGTTTCAATCACTGGAGTAGGAAGTAGGGTCCAGAAAGCGGGCGGGTCAGGAGAGGTCTGCTGTGCCATGTGGGTCACCTCCGGGGCGGTGATTGAACTCATGCTGAAGTAGCTTTAGCTGGAGTAGGGGTGGAGTCCACAAGATTCCTGCAGAGTTCCTTTAGGACATTCTTCCCCTTAACAAGAGCACATGAGGATCTGCTCTGACTCCCCAGAAATGCAAGAAATTTGCCGTGAAATTTCGTTTAATATTTATTGCATTAGAAGAATTTTATTTCTAAATCTATGATCTACTTAGTCCACTAGGTAGGGGTGAAATTCTCACACTCACTTGAAAAGCAAGCTACTGAACCTCAGGGTTAGCGATTTTAGCATTAGATGATGAAACTCTAGAGGTACAATAACATGAGAGCGATCCAGATCACACTGGCAACTAAACTTAAAGCCATCAAAAGGATTTGAGGCACCTGAGAAATGCATACATTCAGCACTTTAACAAGGAATTAAGGCAAATCACAAATGGAAGTGAAGTCACAGAATGAAAATGGGAAAAAGTCAGCACAAAACGATGCATCAGACATAGTAACTGTAACTTTAATCCAAACTTGCAAGATAGAACATCACCAACTGGGGCCAGAGAATTCTATCACACCATCAAGGAAAATATAGCTTTTTCTTTTTTAAAGCTATTTATTTGTGTGTACAGAACTGGGGTACAGGCCAGAAGTGCAGGGGCGGGAAAATATAGCTTTTTATTTTTTCTTTTTTAAAGATTTATTTATTTGTGTGTACAGAACTGGGGTACAGGCCAGAAGTGCAGGGGCGGTGAGAGGATTCACCAGAGACAGAGTGGGGAGCAGAACAGGCAGACTGACGAAGTACACTGCTGAGGGGAGCAGCGGGTGGGTCAGGAGAGGTCAGCTGCTCCATGTGGATCACCTCCCTGGCGGGGATCGAACTCATGCTGAAGTGGCTTTAGCTTCTTAGTGCTGTGCTTTAACCTGCTGCGCCGCCGGAGAGGGCCAGGTTTCTCTTTTTTTAAAAAAAAAATAGAGATGTGCCCTCCCCGGTGGCCCAGCGGGCTAAAGCACAGCACTAAGAAGCTTAAGCCACTTCCGCATTAGTTCGATTCCCGCCTGCCCCGGAAGAGATCCACATGGCGCAACTGACCTCTCCTGACCTACCCACTGCTCCCCTCAGCAGAGTACTTCGTCGATCTGCCTGTTCTGCTCCCCGATCTGTCTCTGGTGAATCCTCTCACCCTCCGCATCTCTGGCCTGTACCCCAGTTCTGTATGGATAAATAAATAAATGTTTAAAAAAAAAGAGAGCTATATTTATTCATGCATACAGAACTGGAGTACAGGCCAGAGGTGCAGGAGCGGCAAGAGGATTCACCAGAGTCAGATCAGGGAACAGAACAGGCAGATGACAAAGTACACTGCTGAGGGGAGCAGTTGGAGACACAGGAGGGGTCGGCTGCACCATGCGGGTCACCTCCCTGGCCAGGGATCTGACTCATGCTGAAACAGCTGTGGCTAGCTTCGTAGTGCTGCACTGAACTATTGCACCACCAAGGAGGGCCTGAAACTTAGGTGTTTCTAACACATAAGTTAAAATAAAAATTTCTCTCTAAAGTTCCCATTACTGCACTGTTTTTGGTCCTTAAAACAAGCTGAAAATATTTATATGCTTATTTACTGTTTATCTCCCCCACAAGAATGTAAACTACAGGCAAGCAGTACCTTTTCTATTTTGTTTTTTCCTCTGTCTCCAGCATCTAGAAAAATGACTGGCATACAGGAGGTGCTTAGTAAATCTTTGGTATAGTAATTAGCTAGTGGTTGAAGTGGTAATTTTCCAGCCAACCCCTTTGAGAATTCTCTGGGTTCTGGGAGAGTCTGGGGTGGTGGTTTGAATGTTCCCATGACTTTGGTCCCCCTTTTCTTCTTTTTGTTGGACCACAGTAGTTCAGTATTCGTTACATAGTTTGTTCTGCCCTGCCAAGAAAGAGAAGTGGAAGTTCACGCAATACAAGGCAGTGTCACTGCCTACCTGACGGATTAAGAATATTCACAGTGCGAAAGCTTTAACCTTGGGCAGTTTCTTTTTCCTTTCAGTTCATTTGTACTCATTCATAGCTCTTCCATTATATTTCCCTACCTTCCCTTGAGAATTGTAAAAGAACTAGGTAAGCCCTCCTATATAGAGGCTGATATTGGGGCAACTAATTTTTTCATCTAAAATGACTTAAATTATCTTTGTGTGTGGTGAAGAGAAGGGGGTCAAGGAGAAAAATAGCAGAAATCCCTGTCTGAGCACCATTCTGTTCCTGTCCCCTCATAAGGAATCAAGATCTCTCCAGAACTCTTCCCAGCTTCAACCCTGTTTCTTTTCCATATAAACGTCTGCCCAGAATCCTTTGGGAAAATGGCATGTTGTAGAATCAGATGAGCAGGTCAACAGAGAGGCATTGCATTTCTCTGCTTCCAGGAAGGATCACACAAACCTAACTTACAGAAATACAATTTCTACACTATAGCTTCTAGGAAAGAACTTTCAGGTGCTAGGAGTATCTCCAGTTGTCTGACTTTCCTTTAGGGGTCAGAGTTTTCTAACTATTTTTTTTCTGGTTCTTCAGATTCTGGAGGAAGCCGACCTCCAATTTTGCCGCCAGGAGGAAGATCCGTTTCTGCCAAACCTTTCACACCCCCAAGTGGCCCTGGGCGATTCCCTGTGCCTTCTGCAGGCCACAGAAGTGGTCCCCCGGAGCCCCAGAGGAACCGAATGCCTCCCCCAAGGCCCGACCTGGGCTCAAAGCCTGATAACATGCCCCCTCCAGTACCTAATACACCGAGGCCCATTCAATCAAATCTGCACAACCGGGGGTCCCCACCAGTGCCTGGGCCCCCCCGGCAGCCCAGCCCTGGGCCTACACCTCCCCCTTTTCCTGGAAACAGAGGTGCTGCTTTTGGAGGAGGCTCTGTACGTCAAAGCCCCTCAGGCTCCTCCACCCCTTTCTCCAATAGGCCCCCGCTACCCCCTACCCCAGGCAGGGCTTTGGATGACAAACCTCCTCCCCCACCCCCCCCAATGGGTAACAGGCCTGCCCTCCACAGAGAGGCAGGCCCACCCCCTCCCCCTCAGAATAGCAAACCCCCAGTGCCTTCCACCCCACGACCTTCCTCCTCCTCACAGGCCCCACCTCCACCACCACCACCTAGCAGGCCCGGACCCCCTCCCCTGCCTCCAGGTTCCAGTGGCAGTGATGAAATCCCAAGACTCCCACAGCGGAATTTGTCCCTCACTTCGTCTGCACCTCCCTTACCTCCACCAGGACGTTCCGGCCCTCTTCCTCCCCCACCCAGTGAGAGACCCCCACCTCCTGTGAGGGACCCACCAGGCAGATCAGGTATGGCAAGACAAAGGGTGAGTTGTCTCTCTGAAACCTAGCCTGGCCAAATGTCACTATTAATAGTGATGTAAGTTTATAGAGTTCAACAAAAGCTTACGTAAACTGCCAGGCTATTTTAATCTTTTAAATGATACTTCACATTTGGTTTCATCTTGACCTCATATAAACCTCTGAGGAAACCAGTATTTCTATCCATGTTTTAGTGATGATGAGATTGAGTAGCCAATAAAATTAATGATTATGAGTTAGTTAAGAAAGAAGAGACTACAACTTGCATCTTCCATCTCTGAAGGATCCTCTACATCCTACCACCCTGTCTCCCTAAAGTGAATTTCAAATGTCTGAATTGGGGATATAAATGCCCACCTTCTGCAGGAGAACTCCATTATGCCAACAAGACGGGCAGTTATTTAGGACCTGATGGGCTCCTCCTGTACTTTTCATCTGTCAAACTTTGAGGTCATCTCTGTATTCACGAAAGACAAATGATAGAGTCCACTTTGCTGTTTATTAATATCTCTGTTTATTAATATCTCCTTGGAAAAGGAGAAAGGTATAGGCCTTCTATTCATAAAAATGCTCATAAGTATATATTCAAAACTTGCATAAATCTTGTGTACAATTGCTAAAGCCCGTCCATGATTCCCCACGGCCCCGTCTCTCACCTGGATTGATACGCCTGGATCTTCAGCTTAAGCAATGAGTGACATTCCTAGATTGTGTTCTCCCTCTCCTAATTATAATAGGCACATTTTGTTTCACAGTGGCTATTAATGGATGCAGTAGAACCATCTACCTTTTTAGGTTTACTATCCATCCATATATGATGTCTGGAAACAGAACATTTTTTCCCCTTAGGAGAAACTAATTGATCTTGTTCCTTTGTCCTTGGGAACCCCCTCAATACCACTCTTTAAACCAGTAGTCCTCAAACTTGAATGCATACTGGGATCAACCAGGGGGCTTTAAGAACTGTAGATTCCTGGGTGCATTGCCCAGTGGCTCTCGTTTCACTGGTCTGGGTTGTAGGCTGGGTGCTAGGATGTCTGGAAGCTCCTCTGTGACTGTAATAGACAGAAAAGGTGGAGAACTATCCCTGCAATCACTGCCATGGACAGTCTGCCCCAAATAAAAGCTGCGCCCATTCATCAAATCCCTAGACAGAGTGGCACCTTGTTTTTTTAATGAACAAGTGAAAACTGGTAGTTGGATGAATGAAATGCAGTGTTTTCTCCTCAGCCAGCAGCTATGGACTTTCCCCTAAAGTAGTTGAGGAAATGTTTGCTTGGTTTTAACAAATGGTTGGATCACCAGATTAAATCTTCCCTAAACTAGGGTGGGCACTGACAAAAAAATTATGACATTTATTGTGTCTTTAGATGACGAGGCATGTCTTCTTATTAACGAAAACACAGAAAAGCATAAAGAAAATAAAAATCATCTATAAGCCTACTACCACTACTATATAAAATAATAATAACATTTTTTGGCCTTTTAATAAATCTATAAACATTTTTACAAATGCAACAGCAGTTCATACATTGGTAATTTGCTTTTTATTTAAAGGATCTTATGAACGTTTTCAGATAAGAGTATTCCTCTACAACCTGACTTTTAATGACTGAATAACATTCAGTCCCACAAATGTACCCTGATTTATTTAATCACTCATTTGGTCATTGACGTCATCTCGATTTTTGCTGATTCAGTTAATGCATTATTTGCACTAATTATTTGTTCACTTCTCTATGTGTTTTCTTTGGATGAATGTCTAGAAATGGGAGTTCTAGTCAACGGATGCACAATAGTATCTGCAAATTTCATTGGTGCTGCTTATTGACCTCTAGAAAATCCCTACCAATTTACATTCCCACAGAGTGTTCTGACAGCTGTCAGGGACCATCTGTGTTCTGAGAGGTTTGGTTTCATTGTTAGGTGGGGATGCGCTTTACAATTGGACAGATTTGGAGTCAAATTCTGGCCATTCCACTCCATAGCCTCCTGTCTTGGGCTTTTTAACATTCCAGCAAGTCTGAGACTATGCCCATGGTCCCTACAGTTTCCAAGACCGATGTCAGGGTTAAACAAGACAGTGTGTATGGTGTGTGTCTCATGTGCTGGCATATATGAGTGAATGTTTTTATTATTATGCTGCCAACGGGAAATAGAAACATTATCCTTGCCTAGCTTTGGAGAGTTAACATGAACTTTTACTTTAAAGAATGGAGAGTGATCAAGCCAATCAAGTTACATAGAGTAAACCTCATACTATTAGAAATCTGATTTGTAAGCAGTGACATACAAACTGGGTTTCCCGTGGGGGTAGTTCCAGTGAAGCAAAGCCCACAGCATGTGAGATACTTTATCCTGCAATAAATCTGCTCTTCCTGACTGGGATTCCAGCAATGACAAGCAGACAGGGCATTAAATAAACCCTACCAGGTCATGCACTGAAGACTCCTTGAGAGACTTCCCAGGGCTGGGCCACCTCCTACATCCATTAGCGTCTAAGTTAACACCGCCAGGCAGGGATGTCGGCAGCGGCGGGTTGTGTTTATGTTGAATGTCAACATCTTGCAATTGGACTGCACTGCTGGAGATCAGGAATAATTGTGAACACCATTTTGTTTGGCCTGAGAATGTTCAAGTTCCTTTTTCATTGTAAGTTTACTCACAACCTAAAAAAACCTGTACATTGGACAGGTTTCTTTTATATTATATTAAATAAATTTGCATTGATTTATTTTCTAGGAATTGAAAATTTTTTTAACTTTACCACACCACAGAACTTTAAAATATTCAAGTACTTATATCAAGTTTTACCTTTTTTTTGACTCTTGCTGGCACTGTGCTGTAGAAAGGAGTCCATGCTGCTGTCTTACAGAGATGGGAAGTCTGGTTCCCCCAGGGGGGGCTGGTGCACATTTATGAGGTGTCTCCCTGGGTGGGCCCAGAAGAGGCTCCTGCTCTTAGGGTGACTGGTATTTGGTTTCCTAGAGTCCCTTCTGCCTAGAAATAGATCATGTGCTCCCCTGGCTGTGTAATTAGCAATAATACTGTGTTTTTAAAGAACTTGATCCTTCTGAAGACCTTAAATAACTTCATGACATTATTTTTCCTAATTCTTTTTTTAAACTACCATTTATTTAATACTCTGCCACAGTAATGAGTTCAAAGGCAATCTAAATGTATTATAAAATGTTCGCACAGTATGAACAGACCATCCTCTGTTCTCAAGTGAAGTGTTCTGCCACAACCTCAGTACTCACACAAAACCAGCCATTTAGCAGTCCTTGTGCCTTCATTTTACGTCGACGTGTGTGCATAGGTAGGTTTCTGTATTTGCATGTGCATTTTCCCCATATGCTTTACTACAGGACATGGATTCATCAGGACTCAATACCTGCACATTGATGATAACCGCCATAATAATGAGGAGGGATATATAACGTTACACGGAGTGTTGTCTTTTCTGTTCCAGGCCCTCTCCCTCCTCCTCCTCCAATAAACAGAAATGGCAGCACTTCTCGGGCCCTGCCTGCTACCCCTCAGCTGCCATCCAGGAGTGGAGTAGATAGTCCCAGAAGTGGGTCCAGACCGCCCCTTCCTCCTGACAGACCTGGGGCTGGGGCACCTCCCCCACCTCCACCATCAACATCAATTAGAAACGGTTTCCAGGACTCTTCATGTGAAGGTGAGCTGTGGGTTCCAGCTCCTGGGAAGCATTCACAGGCTCTAGGGCAGCAATGGGTCAATAATTCTGTTTGACTCTCCTGTAGCCCATACAACACTGTATGATTTCAGTACCTCAGAGCCACCACAATTACTAGTTCAAAATGGTAATTTCTCTTCCACTATCAAAAAGGGTGGCATAAACAAATCGAGGCCTTGCTTTTCTCTGAGTCTCATTGTTTGAGTCTTGGTAGGGCTAATTTTTCAGAGTGCAGAATTCTGAAAAAACCATTTTAGTAGATTGTTTTTTTTATTACCTGTCTTTCTAAACAGTTTGCTCTAGGCAAGAGACCCACCAGCCTGCATGTAGTAAACGCTTTCCTCTGCCAGAGAGTTTCAGTCATTCCTGGACCCTCTGATGAGGGGTGGGAGTGTTCAGACCTTAACCCCAGTCCTGAGAGAGACTGAGACTGGGTCTAGTCACTTTACATCACTTTGATTGGTCTTTAGATTTCCAGGCAGGTGTATTGTATCCATGGCAGTGTAGCGCTTCCAGCTTGCTTCTAAACTTCCAGGCCTGAGAGTAGCAGTGATCTCTGCAGGTGTCATTCTGTTTCTGTCTGTGCTGGTTCGTCACGTGGGTCTTCATAGCAGATTGTTGCTGAAGATGCTGTTTGTCTCTCTCCCTCAGATGAGTGGGAAAGCAGATTCTTCTTCCATCCAATTTCTGATTTGCCACCTCCAGAGCCATATGTACCAACGACCAAAAGCTACCCCAGTAAACTAGCAAGAAGTGAAAGCCGGAGTGAGTATTTCTGCAAGCGCTACTCGCCTTGTATTTGAATGGTCTGGGTCTTGTAGCACTGAGGACTATCTGGGAAATGATGCCTCTCGCTTGGAGTGGGGCTGAGAATGCCACTTAGTCATCGAAATCCTGGTGAACTCCCCTTCCACATGCAGTGCAGAAAGCAAGCTACTGCTATGCAGATTATTATTTAAGTGTGTCATTATATGCTCAATATACATTTGGTTGGCTAGAAGATTGAATTTCATTATGTTGCTGGTTTGGGCAGACTTCCTCCACTTGACCCTTCCTAAAACAGCACAAATAACACCATCTTCTATTCTCTCTAGTTTTGAGACTGAGCAAGTGTCTTAGGAACTTTTAGATATGCCTATATAAATGAGTATGTACATTGGTTTATAACACTGTATGTGAGTCAGAGACAGGACATCACTCCTCCCCAGAGGCACATCAGCACACCTCATACCACCAGGGCACCCCAGCCCTCCAGTGCAGTCCAGGATGCCCCCCTGTCCTCTTGTGGCTTCGATTCTGCAGTCAGTTTCTAGGGTTTGTTACTGATTTGGTTTTATCGAACCTTGGTTTTGTTTCTCTATATTCCACATGTAAGTGAAACCATCCAGTATTTGTCTTTCTCCTGCTGACTTATTTCATTCAGCAGAATCCCCTTACATTCATGTTATCAAACAGGCAAGACCTCACCTTTTTATAGCTGGGTAGTATTCCATTGTATATCTGTACCACAAATTTCTAATCCAGTCATCTGCCTTGGGCATTTAGGTTGTTTCTATTATTTTGCTATTGTAATTAGAACTGCATGAGATTCACATAAAATTGCTGATGAGCCTCAGGATGGTAACAGCCTTAGCACCAAACTCCAACCAGAACTGTGTGGCAAGTTCTTCAGCATGTCAGATTACTGCTTTAATGTCTGTAGCCCTGTCCTCACTCCCTAACAGGCCTCCTTCTACATGCTTGGGGACTAGCCGTTCCCTTAACACACAGTTTGGTTCGTCAATAATTTTTGGTTTATTGGTTCCCAGTCTTGGAGCAGAAGTTAAGCTGAAGCAGAAGTTAAACTTCAGCTGAAGTTTGGCTACAAGCAGAACTACTAATTTCAAGGAGAAGTGACAGGTGGCAGTCTCGAGTCAAAGGAAAAGATAAGGGCAGCTATGCTATTTATTGTAATAACAGACATACTAGATGTTTCTGTTGCGTTACTAAGAGGTCCAATTGTGCTTTGTGCCTCTGTTAAAGAATCCAAAGAAGTGGAAAATATTTAGGAAAATTTCCATGAACAGATGCCAGAAGTAAGCATATTGTTGTTTGAAAGGAAAAGCTTAGTTCCTAGAAAAATTAACTTAGTTGAATTTTACAGTATTCCTGGGAATACTGTATTCCTAGGAAATGCCTAATAAAATTGTAACTTTCATAGGAGACCTGGTTGAAATATTTGGTGAAAAAAAACAAGTGTGTAGGACTAATATCTCGGGGAGGAGGGGCAGGTAAAGTGGGAGAGAGAAGGGCTTCTGTCTGCTGAGAAGGCAGCCTGTTCTTCAGTAGCCAGCCTTCCTCCCTAACACTTAGCAGACCCTTCACCTCTCCCTTCTCCTCCACGTGGCCAGCTAACACAGCCTTGGTCACAGAGGGCGAGGGCGTGGGTGTGTTTGTAGCCATCCCTGAGATTCTACAATGAGGACATAATTTTTTAACCAAATGTATAATTTTGTCTCCTTTCTTCTTCATCAAGGTGGATCCAATCGAAGAGAAAGGGGAGCCCCACCACTTCCTCCCATCCCCAGGTGATCCTTGCCTGCCCTCCACCGAGCCCTGGCTCCGTCTGTTGTTGCTCTCCGAAGCTGTGTTCCCTCCCCCTTGTAGTCCTCTGTGCCCTTCCCAAGGGCAAGAGAAGAAGGGAGGGTGACATGGGAATCTGTGTGTGCGGGGGGTGGGAATCTGGTTAAGAAATACGCCTCACTTCTTATATTGTGTGTCTTCTTAAAGCTATCACCCGCTTCAGCTGCAGCTTGCCAGTGCCGGCTTCTTGGGGGCCCTAGGCTTTTGTGGCAAGTAGGCAGAGGTGATTGGGTCCCAGCTTTTGACCAACCAAACCCAAGCATCCTCTGCTTATTTGCTATAGACTGTAACTAGTAAAGTCCCTGAAAGCTATTTTTTTCCCATGCCTTTTTTGCATGCTTGACCCTCATCTGTTTCCATGAGCCACAGACCACCGAAGCAGATTGCTGAGCAAGAGCTCATATGAAATTTTTACAGCTCTAAGATGTTTAATCTTTGGCAGCCTGAGGTAAACGCTAGCACAGAGCTGTCCCATAGAAATATAAAGTGAGCCACAAATACAGTTTAAGATTTCTAGTAGCCACATTTTAAAAAGGAAAAAAAAAGAAATAGGTGTGATTAGTTTTCATTCATTTCACCCAAAGCATTATTGCAGCCTGCAATCGCTATAACAATTATTGAGATGTTTTACATTCTTTTTCTTCTTCAAAATCCAGTGTGTGCTTTATATTTAGAGGATCTCTATTTGTACGTGTCAATTTTTAAGTCCTCAGTAGCCCTATGTGGCCAGTTGATACCATATTGGGGAGCACAGGGCTAAAAGACAGGGGTTAGTACAAAAACCTCTTGCTTTAAAAAAAAAAATCATAAAGGCAAGGTGTGCTTTAGCTATTCAAGAGGTAATTAAAAATAAAGTTAGGACCCAACACCTTGTTCAGCAGAAGCTTGACCTTACATATTGCTCCCTTATTTTCCCTCTTCCCTTAATATCTATATACAAAGGTTATTTCACCATACTAAGGCCAGAGCTTGGTCTAATAGGGTTTACAGTCACATGGAATAAGCCATTGGAAAGAAACTGAAACCCCGAGAGCTCAGAACCGATCGGCTGGTGTGCTCACCTGTCCATTGGTTTTGGAAGCAGCTTCATTCCCATCTACTCAGCTTTCTCCTTAGGGCTGGAGGCTCATAGGCTGAGATAGAGTTGGGGGAGAGGGGTTGGGGAGGACAGAAAGGGCATGGGGAGAAAGCCAGGTAAAGGTAGCTCTTCAGAAATGTGGAAGAAAGGAGCAGGTTTGAGTGGATGAGCTGAACTTTAAAAATCTAAACCTAATGCTTATGGGTTGAGAGAAAGAGAGATTGCTCCTGGCATTTGGAGGGAATTTACTTTGAATCTATCTGGGAGAATCATTTGCCTTGGATCTATGCAAATAATGTTCCCCTAAAGGATGATAGGGAAGAGTCAGCCTTGCCTTTTTTCATAAGATTTTGTTTACAAAACTTTATTGGGACTTTTAAATTTAGCTATAGAGTTGAGAAAAAAAAAGTTTTCCATTTAGATGTTTTTATATGGTTGATCTAGTGTAGATCACCATTACTTATTTTCTAAAAGCACATGACACATAGGTATATTTACATAAACTTTGTATCATGGGTTCATTGTTCCTGTATTACTGGGAGATGCTAGTAAGAAATCAGTCCAAAGAAAAATTTGCAAGAAGCATTCCTATTTATAGAATAAAATTGCTTCATTTATATAAAAGTAAAAGAACTTGGAGGTCTGATAAATTATGAAGTTACTGATTTGAATATATTGTGTTTTTATAACTTCTCTTGCAAAGCTCTGGATTTATAGAAAGAGAATTTGATTTATGTTCCCTGCCCTACTATTCAGTTGCCTTTCATACAGGAACCCTTTACTCAAAGCAAATCAAAAAATATAAAGGTGTAACAAGCTTGGCAAAGTGTTTTACAATTTCTAATCTCTAGTATTTTGATAGCATAGCAGCATCATTTCCTTTTAATTATTAGATATGATCAGTTGATTAAAAAAAAGTCTTTGGATAAATGCAAATAACCTATTTCAGAAAAGACAGGGTTTGGTCCTCCAAGTAAATATGGCAGCATCTGATCCAAAGAAAATAGACATGAATTTTGTAAAGAATAGTAAGAGTGGTCAATTTCCTTGTGTATCCCAACTTGGTAGGTACCATCCTGAAGTTTAAAACAGGTCACAGTTAAAGTTGTTTATCCAGAATACAGACAGAATACAGAATACAGGTTTAGAATGCATCTTTTAAGTCAAGATATTACTAATAAATCTTTCTTTGGAAGTTAGCAACCTAATTGCATACAAAACTCTACATAAGTTTCATGCTAAAATCTTCAACTATGGCAAATCACAAAAGTGAATATTTTCCTTCCTGAAATCAGAGCTTACCAAGTGTTTTTTCCAGGACATTTCCAGATAAATATATTCAAGATGCAATAGTGTTTTAATACTCACATATCATTTTATATTGAAATGTATTACAGTATTAAAATTCAGTGTTCCATATTTATTTCACTATGCATTTTATTTCATAAAAGCTAAGAAAAATGTTTAATCCAATGGTGCCTTACTTTGTGATTTGAAAGAAATATACTTTCTATGTCTGAGTAGCAGATTATTTGCATATTTGTAAAAACTGTTAGGCCTTTATATTTTAACATGTAATACCAATTTTGTTATTTTAGTAGCATCAATGGGATGATTGTTAAAGTGCCCAAACATTTTTGGCATAAATAAACTTTTCCCTGTTTGTATTAGTCAGGGACTGTAAAAGAAGAAAAAAAAATTGTTTTTCATACCACTGAACTATGTAAACATGCACAGTTTGGTATCTGTGTCATCAGGAGAGTTTAAATGTTGGGGCAGAGTCTACCCTAGATATCTGTCTGCTTCTTTGTAAATTAGCCAGACAATAAATAAAAACAGAATGATGAGTGTCCACTGGTGGTTTTCATCTTATTATTTGCATATCTGTAAAAACTGTGTAAATATAAAAACAAAATCTAGTGTCTGTTTTGTTTCTGCCTCTGGTAAAGAAGCATAAGCTCAAAAAGAACAGAAGGGTATATATAAATATTTGTCACATCGACTTTCTAATTCCTTGTTTTCCCTGAGAACCTGCATCTTAGTTGATGTCTCTTTACTTCAAACATATGCTTCTATCCTAAGGTGAAGATGGATTGTGGAAGCCATGGAAGGTGAAATTACAGAGACTGGCATTGACACCGATAAATACATGTGAGGCCAGTGGAAATTTAGGAGGCCTGATGATCTTTAAATGATCTGCTGGGTTTATGTGTGTACATCCATATCCAATATAATGGTAAAGAGTTTAGAAAGGCCTGATTCCATCTATAACTCACAAATCACCCAGCTTCTCTTAGCCTCAGTTTCTTTATCTCAAGTGAGTAGTAGTTATAACATTAATATGTGCATTTTATAAGAGAATGCATTCAATACTTAGACTGACTTAATCTAAGCACTCAAGAAGTGGCATTACTATTTGTGTGAAGCCCCACAAAACTGAACCTGACCTTGTATTATTGCTTCTTAGACAGAAGTCAGAGTGGATAACTTAAAAACTTTCTTAAGCCACCAGCTCCCCACAAGAATGATATGAGGATCCCAAACAAATAAAAGACAGGACGTGTTTGCCTCCTAGGATGGTGTGAGAATATTTCTGGCAATTCAGTCATTAATCTAGGAAAATTTAAGGTGTCTGGGAAACAAATGTGGATGAGACTGGACTTTGAGCCAATCTGGCTCAATCTGGACCAGGAAGATGGCTGCCTGAACACCTGGAATACCCATCATGGACTTCACATAAATGTGTTTGAGTCATAAGGCATTCCCACCTTCTTCCTGTTTTCCACCTTTCTTGGTGGGTTAAAGGTCATTTGTCAACATCCCATCTAATTCAGATAAGTCTTTGAGACAAATAGCAATAGAAGATAGCAATAAGAAATTCCTCATGCTTTTTGGAGTTACTGTAATCCCTGAGTTCATTCTTCTGTTACTCATTCAAATCATCAAGAAATACTGGTTGGGTATGATTTATTTAAGCATTGGGAATACAAAGATACACATTATGCAACTAATATGATGCATTAGTCCTAGAACCAAGCATGGGAATTTAAATTCTACATCCAGTAAGCACTTCAACCAGCAGGCACATCTCCACTCTACCAACAGTTGTGAAATGTTCCCCACCTCCAACACAGGGATGAAAGGGAAATCCCTCCCCGCCATGGTATTTGCTCCTTAGGGACACTCTTGGAGCAAAGATCTGAATCAGTCCCCATGGAAAATGATATCTAACAGTAGTGAAAACACAGTAATTTTATACATCAAGAGACCCTACCTAATTTAACTAGATGACAACACGTCTTTTTTCATATAACCATCACCAATTAGTGATCAACTACTGTGTCCTATAGTCTTTGCGAATATTGTTACATATGCTATTGCTTATCTTTATGACTTGACACATGCATAAATCAAGAACTGGGTAGATTAGAAATTTGCCTTAAGTCACTTGCCTTGCATGGATCCAGAATTCAAACTCAGGGCTATTTGAGTACATAGTGGCATGAGAAGTCACAATATCATTGTCAACATTTCATTTGCCCATTTCAAAGGCTACTGTTATTTATAAAAGTAAGCAAGGATTTCTTTTTTTTTAATAAATAATATGTTTATTCTTACATCATTTTGTGCATTTTTCCATCTCAGTTGTAATCCTGTGAGCTTCCCACCACCAAATCACCCATGTGCCATCACCATAGTCCACTGCACTTCCCTCCCGCCACTGTTTGCTCCCATTCCCCACTCCACCCCCATAAAATGTCTCTGGTATATAACTGTTCATTATTATTTTCTCGCCTGGTCCGTTATACTCCTGCTATTAGTGAAACCATATGGTATTTTCCCTTTTCTTTCTGGCTTATTTCACTAAGTATGATCTTTTCCAGCTCCATCCATGTAAAAGCAAGAATTTCTTAATAAGCCAAAATAAAAGAAGACCTAATCTTAGAATGAAAGACAGTATTCGTGGAATATACTGGATATGGCTTCATGGAGAACACTACTTTGTACTTACCTTCCTCATACTTACCTTCCTCAGGACTGGCTGACTCCAGTCCTGAACCAGCAGTTACCTCTTGTAAGTGATCCAACTTCTTTCTCTTCTTTGGTTCTTTACAACGTAATGGGTGGTTGTAATCCCTACCTTGAGATTTTTAAAGAGATGTTATATACCTGTGTTTTTCAGTTCATCTTATCAGATACCTGCTACCTTTAAAGTGATCTCAGGGGAGTCTGAATTTCAGACAACATTTCATTAAACACAGATCTGAAATCCCCAGCCCACAGTCCACCCACAACGTAAATACTTTCTTTGTTCCCCTGTGTATCCCCTCATCTTCTGTACAGTCCATTATTCATGGGGTATTTATGCCATAAATTTTTAGCATTGGATTTACGTTTTACTCCCCTTGAAGTCAGAGAAGTCATGTGGTTCTTTTAAGTTCCAAATAATAGGATTTGCTTTCCCAGAATAGCCAGATGTAAACCTTGGGTTCTTTGCCACAATCCTGCATCCTAATACTCACAGGGTTGGGGACAAGGGGAAGGTGTGGGGTAAGGGGTGAGGTGAGAGCAAAAAGCTAGTCATATTTTTAAAAATTGAAGTAAGTGACTGTACAATTTCAAAACATTTTCATACACATTACCTCATTTTACACACAGAAGTCCACTGAAAACAAAAAGGAAGACACTGATCTTCCATGTTACAAATGCAGGGCTGAGGCACTGAGAAATGAAGTGGCTAGAAGGTCACCACAGCTAGGGCATAAAAGCGGGCCAAAACTGAATCAATCTCTGACTATTCCAGATACTCTAAATTGCATTTTTACCCTTACTGTCTTCATTCATTTAACAAATATTATTGAGCATTTTCTCAATAATGAGAAGGCCTGGAGTAAGCCCAGCTGAAGATATGATAGACTGGATTACCAAGCACCAGTTTCCCCTGTTTTCTGCAAATAGAATGTTGTTTCTTTGGTAGAGTTTAGAAGGTTATTTTTAGAATTTGGGAATGCTTTATCATTAAAATATATGGGAAAAATTGAGCATTCTTAGACCCCAAGTGTTACCTCTCAAATCATACCAAATAGGTGTGTTCTTTTTTCAGATAGGAGGGGAAATCTGTAAGTCCTGTGTTTCAGGGACACTCAGTCTTTTGGGGACTCAGGTAAATAAATATACAAGTAACTTTAGATCTAGGTCGATAACATGTGCTATTTAAAAGTTTGAGGAAATGCACGTATGGATCCAAAGATTGACCAACACCTATGAAACTGGTTGACTTTTAGCTGCCTCACACTCACATATGTTTTCCTTATCTTTCTGAGTTAGATTTACAGAACTTCTCAAAATGCAAGTTAAGGACCACTTGCACCAGAATTGCCTATACAGATACCTGGGCTCCATACAGATCAACAACAACAAAAAGATCTCTAGGAACTGAGGGTTGTTTTTTTTGTTTGTTTGTTTGTTTTTTTAATATGGAACACATCACAACATATACATTATCCTTGAGCTCCAATTCAGGGCATGGGTGGCTAAGAAATGTATAATTTTAAAGCTTTAAAAGCTTCACCCAGGGCCCTCCCTGGTGGCGCAGCATGTTAAGGCACAGCACTAAGAAGCTAAAGCCACTTCCACATGAGTTAGATTCCTGCTTGCCCGGAGGTGACCACATGGCGTGGCAGACCTCTCCTGACCCACTGGCTGCTCCCCTCAGCAGTGTACTTCATTGATCTGCCTGTTCTGCTCCCCACTCTGTCTCTGTGAAGCCTCTCACCGCCCCTGAGCCTCTGGCCTGTACCTCAGTTCTGTATGCACAAATAAATAAATCTTTTAAAAAAAAAATCTTCAAGGTCACTCGGATACATATTTAAAGATTCAGAATCTCTGTTCTGAATGTTTCCCCCTTGCATGTGAACCTTTAAGAGACTATTCATAAATACATATACATTTATATTCATGAATATATATGTTCTTAGGTGCAATATAATGTAAAGGCTAAATCATACGCTGGCATTTGCCTTTTGTCATATTCTTTAACACTGTCCTGTGCATACTGATCCATTAGACAGCTATTTGTCTCAAATACTTTCCTTTAAAAATTATTTTTATCTCTATTTATCTACCTACCTAGCTAGCAGTCTATTACTCAACTCTGTGACACATTTTCCACATGCTAAACACTACCTTACCTCCTCAGTCAAAGAAAAATTGTGAATATTGGTAGCATATAGTCCTACCCAATGAGAGCCAGTCTGACCCAAGTGTATGTTCTAGTGTGTTTTCTTGAATTAAATATGCCTGCAACATGTGACTTCTCTCCATACTACTGCTGAGTTCTAATAAATAACACTGACATTGTGCTATCAAAAGAAAATAGCACAGGTACTACTATAAAGAAATAGAGGGGGAAAAAACCATGTTGGTTGCTAAAAACAGCTAAGCAGTTCAAGATGACTTCAAGCACATGGTTATTAGCAAATGGGAAGGATTAGCAGGGATTCAGGGCAATGGAAATCTTTTGATAATATGAAGTGTTTTGTCCCGATTTCTGTGACTGGCTGGCTGCCAGGCAGAAAGATGGGAGGCAGAAAGACTAAGCAAAGTAGAGTTTGTTGCTCCTGGGCAGCAGCTGAGAGGGAGCTCCCTAGGATGGGGGTTTGCCACTACTGCCAGCCCTAGAGGGGAAAAGGGTCTCTTTCATAGATTCTTGGTTCAAATTCTAAAGGGGTGACTTATCGCTGTGCCCCTGATGTGAGGTCCTGTTCGTCCCACTGGTATCTCCTGGATGCATGGCCCAGCTAATTGTCACCCTTAGATGCAAGGCCCAGTTTATGATAGCCCTTATCTAGTCC